CTCTAGGGATGCCCACAGCTGCCTTTCTGGGTGCTGTCATCAGAGCTGGTCATCTGCGGGCCCTCCTGACCGCCACTGCTGATGTCTGYAGCAGGACAACCGCCATGCCTCCTGGGCCTGTGACGCTCAGGGCTGGGTGACTTGGCCTCCCCTGACTCCTGCTCTCTGTCCGGCCCCGAGTGCTGGCAGTGAGCCCTTCTGGCCCCTGTCTGGTGGCTGGCCTGGAGCCTCTGCTGTGGGATCTGCTTGCCCTGGCACCACACTCAGTGCCACATGGGTAACAGTGACTCTGCAGGTGCACTTCAAGGCCCTCACCACATTGTGCTCTTCTGCTTGTGGAAGCCCTGGGACTCTTCCCAGGCTACCTTTGCTGTTAAGTTTCCATAAAATTGAGACTATATATATATATTTGGGTTCTGTCCCTGTTCCTGGCACAGAGCTCCTGTTGTGATTAACAAACACCCCCTCTTTTTTGTGGTTCTTGGGGTTGAACCCAGGAGCCCTCTACCACCAAGCGACATACCCAGTCCCTTTTATTTTTTGAGACAGGGTCTTGCTCAGTAGCCAGGTGAACCTCACTTGTGATCCTCCTGCCTCGGCCTCCGGAGCTGCTGGGATGACAGGTGTGCACCACTGCATTCAGCTGTATTAAGAAGCTATTCATTTAGTTAGCTAGATGATGGTTAATTTTTTTTACCATAATAAGCCCTTTCAGCCAGAAATGTGTTCCTACAAATGAGGGGAAGCTTGGGGAATGGGGACTGAGGCCAGAGGAACCAGCCTAGTGATTAGCGGTGTGAACTTTCAGCTCCAGGATGGGGATTGAGTGGCTCAGTAATGGCCAGAGATTTAATCACRATCCATAAAACCCCTAATCCACAGGCTTCAGGGAGGCCCCCAGGGCTGCTTTCCCACCTCAACCCTGGGCAGAAGATGTAGCAGGCTTTCCTGGTTTTCCCCCTGGGTCTCTGGGCTCAGTTGTTTGGATACTTAGGATAGAGAAAGAACCTCAAAGTCCTTTCTTGGGATAGCCTCCTGGCTGGCACAGATGCTGCCCTTCAGTAGAATCCAGCTTCCTGCATCAGAAGCCAAAGACCTCTCTGCCCTCCCCTTCAGGAAGCCGATGTCCAAGGCGACCCAGGAGGGTTTGGTCCTCCAGAGAGCAGAGGGAAAAGCACATGAAAATGTTGACCATCACTCCTGTTGCATTTCTGGGACGGCCACCAAGGGCGGTCACCATTCTGGGTTTCCTGAAGTTTGTTTCTGCGGGCTGGATGTGGATCTGAGGTGTGRCCACCTTAGAAGTCCAGACCTAACACCTGGTGACCGTTTGCCTGGGGTGTGGGGAAGCAATGTTTCTCAGATCCACTGGACAGGAGCCGAGGACAACCCCAGCTCCCAGGGACTGGGTGTAGTGACTTCTGAGGATGGGGAAGGAGGCTTGTGAGAGAAGGTGGGCGAGGTTAAGCTCCATGAGGGTGTCGGGAACCCCAGGTGATTTCGCTAGTGTGCATGGGAGCCCTGGTGCCACCCGTGTCATAGGTGTGGGTCGGTACCACATGGGGCTCACTGTAGGAGCATCCCTGCCACTTGGCTAGGACCAGGGGTGCTGTACTAGGCCCTCCACTACCCCTGTGGCACGACCACTGACCACTGAGATCAGACACCGGCCACACCCCCAGATGTCTGTGTGGTTGATGAGCAACTGTGTCACCCATGGACACCTTTGTTCAGTGGGAACCATGAAAGACTTTACTTGTCAAATCTCCTCTCTGTGAAAGATCTGCTGGGGCCACCATGGCTCATCTGTGCGTCTGTCTCCCTGGAGTCTGGGGGCATCCTGCTGCATTTGGCTGACTTCCACAGACATCACAGACCCTCCCGCATGGGGCAGGTCCTCTGCTGCTTGTAATTCTTCATGTAGCACCAAGTAGAACATTTTAAAACTCTGTGACAGTGTAAACCTGGAGTGTTTCCACACATTGGAGACRAGAGTACAGCAGGTGCAGGGGGTACGTGATAGGCTTTCCCTTGGGAGAGAAAATGCCATGGAAAGATGTTCCCGTTGGATCTGAGAGTCCCCAAAGGCTGGTGTGTTGCCAGTATAGTCCCCAGTGGATGGTGCTTTGGAAGGCGTTCACCGGGGTGTATCCTGACCTGTTCCTGGCCATCTCTCTTGGCTTCCTGGCTGCCTGAAGGTGCTGGGTTTGCCCCACCACCTACTCCCCACTGTGATGTCCTGCCTCACCCCCTGCCCATAGCCATGGACTGAACACTCCAGTACTGTGAGCCCAAAGAGATCTCTTCCCCTTTAAGCTGTTTCTGTCACAGTGATGAAAGCACACTAATACCAAAGATCAAGGAACAGGACTAAAAGCTTGTTATTTAAAGGAGAAAGGCCACTGCTAGAGGAAATACAACCAGTAACAAAACCAATCAAATCTGGTGGTGGGAGATAAGAAGGGGCGATAAGAGCAAGGACTAACTACCTCCCATCTCTCATGGGGGTGACTTGAGAGAGAAGGATAATGAGCAGACTATTTGTTATATAAACACCCTAACGGTATAATACAGACCTTCTGATTTATTGCAAGGAAAACAGTCTCCTCAAAATACATTTGCAGCTATAAGAAAATTATCAAACTATACCCCAAAGTTTTCTTGCATATAGAAATGAGACAAGAAAACTAATGGAAGAACACATTTAAGACAGGTCTGTGAAGCCAATTTTTAAAATTCTGCCAAGGGACAGTAAACAAATACATGGACACAGAGGCTGTGTTTTGGAGTAGCCACATGAACTGGACAATTTACCTTTGTGCCTCCGATTCCTCCTCTGTGATATGGGGACAATAATGATAATGGCYGCCACCTCATGGGACTGAAGTGAGGTCTGTCTTAGCAGCCTGAGTTCACGTCGGTAAAGCTTTCAGTGGCACACGGGGCTGCGGAAATGCCCGTGAAATACGGTTAGGAGGCCTCGTAATTGTATAKATGAAATAGCTCCCAAACTAATTTATAAACATGAACACAATAAGACAAAATTTAAAAGGAGCCTTTGTACTTGGCACACTTGATTCTAAAACTAACACGAACATCTCGCAAGGGAGAGAAGCTGGGAAAACCCCGAGGGAGAAGGGTGGGGAGGACGGGCTAGGGTGCGGGCACTGTGGGCAGGCCAACGGGGACCTCCCGGCAGGTGCTCAGGTGGACGTGGGCACAGGGTGCAGCCTAGTCGAGGCGGGAAGACACAGAAAGGCAGATGGGGACTTAGGATGTGGAAGGGGAGGCCGGCTCGGGGCCCCAGAGCAGGCCACTAGGGCACAGATGCTCTCGTGATGAGCCACACGATCAGGAGGGGCTCCCACACCTGCCCTGTTTCCTCCCGAAACAGGAGGCGAGGCCACATGAAGACGCCCTCCATCCACCAGGAGGAAAGGAGCACTCGTCACCCACTGTGGCCCCGGGCCAAGAGCCGTCTGTGCCAGGCACCTTGTCTTCAGTCACTTCTCCACTGCTAGGGTCAGCTGTCCCCGCCACACCCATGTCCCCTCATGTTTCCAGCTTACAACTCTGACCGGCTGGAAGTGTTGCACTGTTCCCTGGGTCTTCATGTTTTGTTTTTTTAGTATTTATTTATTTTTTTAGTTTTYGGTGGACACAACACCTTTGTTTTTGTATGTGGTGCTGAGGATCGAACCCGGGCCACACGCATGCCAGGYGAGCGCGCTACCGCTTGAGCCACATCCCCAGCCTTGGGTCTTCATGTCTTTCCGAGGCTCCTGCGTGGCATTAACTTGCACTAAATAAACAGGAAGGCCTTTCTCCTGCCGATATGGTTATGTCCACTTAACTCTCAGGCCCAGATGAAGACTGTAAGAAGGTGGAGGTAAAACAGGTGCCGCTCCTGCACAATCAAGGTGGCAAGGCACTGGTAAAGGACATGTCAGGCCATAAGCGGAGTCCTAATGACTGGCCTGGCAGTGGAAAACAAAAGAATTGCTTAGATTATGACTTTATTTCTCATATGAAAATAAGTTCCAGATGGATTAATGATTTAAACAAATGAAGTTATAAAGTACTAGAAGAAAAAAGTCATAATTGCCAAGCAGAGACGTTCTTGCTTAAAAAGAAAAAATAAGAATACACAAAGGAAGAAGCAATAAATAGGACTTTATTAAAAATGAAACGTTTCTGCAGGGCAGGAAAGAAAATCCCAATAATAAAAACAAGAGAAACCACAAAACAACTCGAACACAGTAAAAACACAAGAATGGGAGGAAATACTGGCAAAGACGTCACTCCCGCGAAGACCCCGCAGTTGTTCCCACGCTTGGTGACCCCTCCCCAGCCAGAGTCTGTGCCCTACCACGTGTGACTTGGCCAACACGTAGACCTCACACCCCTTCTTCTATATTGTTGGTGGCAAAATGTCAAATCTGGTTGAACCCAATTTGACTTATTTTCTAAACCCGACACCAAAACATTACCAGGAAGAAAAGATGGCAATAAAAAAAAGAGGATTCCGTTTCCAATTTGAATTCTTGTCTGCAARTGGCCTGCTTCAGCAGCCGCCTCTCTGGAGAAGCCCTGAGTGGGTCAGAGCTGGATCCTCAAAGGCCAGCCACACCCCAGGACCAGGGCAGACGACGGAGCCGAGACCACTGGACTTTGAGCTTGACTCCAGACTGCGGTCTTGGAAAATCATTGTAGCCCCTGGCAACCAGTATTCTTGTCGGCCTTAATGTGCACGCCTTGCAGAATTCTTTCAAGGATGAGTGATGGCTGCTATCCAGGGGATCCCCTGCTTCCTGGGGGTGCTGCATGTAGAGGACAATCACATCCAAMGGAGGAGGGCGACAGAGGGCTATGGAAGACAAACTCAGGGACCAGTAGTGAGGGAGGTAGACCCACACCCTGACCCATAAAGAGGCGAGTCTTCCAGCTGTCCTCTGATCTCGGCACAGGGAGGCTGGGCCCCGCCATGCCAGCCCCRTCACTTACTCTCCAGGGTAGAGCTGCCGCATGAGGGTCAGCTGCTCCGTGGCCCCGATCTACAGAAGAAGGGCAGCCATCAGAGGCCCTGGGTGGGGGCAGCCCCCAGCCACACAGATCCACCATGCAGACTGGCAGCAGGAGGAGAGAGGCCTGGGTTCCCTGGATTCCATAGCCCAGGGAAGCCATCGCCTCCACCCCCATGCCCCCCCCATACACAAGTGCCCACGTGCACATGTGTGTGCCCCTAAACACACACACACACTCAGGCCTGCATGTTCTCTGGTGGACCCTGATAGAGCTGCTTAAGGAAGACAAGAACCCCCCAGGGGGTGGGGAGAGTGCAGAGGAGGGAGGGGCCGGGGCAGGCATCATTTGTCGCTCACCACTCTCACCCGCAGCAGCCACCACACACTTGCCTGGTCATGGTCCACGATTTGCCAGGTCCTAGAGTCACTTCCTTGGTACTTCTTCCCTGGACAGAGCTGCCACGTGAGGGGCAGCTGGGAGAAGGGCAGCTGGCTGAAGAACAGGGTGCCCTGGGGGTGTACAGGTATCTGCCATAAGTGGACTCTGATGCTGCGTTCACGCTGAAGGGACCAGAGAAGAGGGGCACATCAGGAACAGGCTCCTGGCACAGGGTGGAACAGCATGACATACAATCCACATGGTCCTGGATGCCCCTCAGCTGGTGGGCTGCTGGGGTCAGAGGTCGAAGGGCATCTTTTCAGAATGCCAGCCTTGACGCCATCTCCTGGGGGCTCCGTGTGGAGCTGGGTGAGGGCGCTCTTCTGGCCTGCGCCCACCACACCCACTCCACTTCTCCCAGCTCAGCCCCTCCACCCTGCCAGCACCCTGGGCTGGCACTCAGTGCACTCTCCAGCTTTGTCTCAGCAATTTGCATAGTTTTAAAAATCCTCTTTTAAAAAACAAAATATCCAGGAACCCAGGGCCTGGAGGTGATGGCTCTTCCCCAAGAGAAATGTGCTGCATTTTTGATCCTGACTTCACAAGCTTTTCGTGAACTCAAAGGTCATAAAATCCAGCCAACGCCCAAAGGTATGAAGGTAAAAGTCACAACGATGAACCGCCACCAAGCTCTACATGCAACAAAATAGCCCCAYACAGACACCTGCCCAAGCACCTGTCCCCTTTCCTGGTGCCCAAAAGGCTAAGCCAAGGCTGTTCACCCTTCACCAGGCTCTCGAGTGGCCAATGGCTGTTCTCTTTGTCACCCTGAGTCTCATGGGCCATTTTTATGAGAGAAGCCTTAAATTACATGGCAAACTCTCTCCTTCACTTTGGATATGGACTTGAGATCAGGGGTCCGTAAAAGAAGGGCCATGAGCCCAATGTGGCTTATCAGCTGCTTTTTAAATAAAACTTTATTGTAAATAAAATAGGGCCCCTTCCTTCACTCGCCGACTGTGACTGCAGAGCAGTTACCAGAGTCTCTGTGGCCTGCGACGGGACAGTTTCTRCTGTCTGATCCTTTTCAGAAAGAGTTTGCTGATCCTTGCATTTGGTCATGCTCAGGGGGTCTTGTTCCCACCCTGAGAATATATGTGAAAATACTGATCTACTTAAGAAATAATTGCTTTTTGGAGAAAAGACAGGCTTTTTAACAAATGGTGCTGGGAAAAGTTGATATTCAAAGGTAGAAGAATGAAAAGAGACCCTTATCTCCCACCCTGTACAAAAATCAACTCAAAATGAATCAAAGACCTAAGAATTAGATGAGAAACCACATGATTCCTAAAGGAAAGCATACGGTCAGGGCTGGGGTTGTGGCTCAGTGGTAGAGCACTTGCCTTGCATGTGTAAGGCACTGGGTTCAATTCTCAGCACCACATAGAAATAAATTAATAAAATAAAGGTCCGTCAACAACTTAATTTAAAAAAAAAAAGAAAACATAGAGTCAGCACTCTAGCATTTGGGCACAGACAATGGCTTTCTGAGAGGACCTCTACAGCTCAGGAAATAATGCCAAGAGTTAATAAAGAGGTGGCCTCAAATTAAAAGTCTTCTGCATGGCAAAAGAAACAAGAATGTGAAGAGAGAATGTACAGACTGGGAGAAAATCTTTGCCAGCTAMTTTTCTGACAGTGGATTAATATCTAGAATATTTAAAGCAAAAATGTTTTTATTTTTTTGTCTTTATTTTTATTTATTTATTTATTTGGAATTCAACCCAGGAGTGCTTAACCACTGAGCCAGATCCCAGCTTTTAATTTTTTGAAACAAGTTCTCAATAAGTTGCTCAGGGCCTCACTAAGTTGCTGAGGCTGACCTGGAACTCACAATCCTCCCACCTCAGCCTCCTGAGTCACTGGGATTAGAGGTGTATGTCACGGCACCCAGCAGAATTTAAAAAAAAAAAAAATTAACACTGAAGAAACAGATAAGCCAATTAATAAATGGGCAAATGAACTCAACAGATACTTCTCAAAATAAGAAATACAAATGACTATAAATATATGAAACATGTTAACATCAGCCATTAGGAAATGCAAATTAAAACTAAACTGAGATTTGATCTTATTTCAGTCAGATTGRCAGTCATCAAGAATACAAACAATAATAAATTCTGAAGAGGGCATGGATAAAAAGGAAGTGTAGATAGAACTGTAAATTAGCACAACCACAGTGGAAATCAGCATGGGGGTTCCTCAAAAGACTCGGCACGGAGCCCCATATGACCCAGCTGTGTCCCTCCTCAGTATTTACCCTGAAGAATTAAAGTCATCATGCCACAGTGACACATGCATACCTAAGTTTATAGCAGCACAATTCGCAATAACAAAACCATGGAACCAGCCTAAGTGTCCATCAGTGGAGGAATTCATAAATAAAATGTGCTGTACAGATACAATGGAGTTCTTTTCAGCCATAAAGAAAAATGAAATTATATGTTTTGAGGGAAAGTGAATGAAAAGTTTTGCAGGAGAGCTCAGGAGATCAAGGGTCATGTGTTTTCTTTCCTATGGAAGCTAGAGAGGAAAAAGGAAAAGAAAGTTGGAAGTAGTATTTCAGGAAAATTGAAGGGAGATCAATAGAGCAAAGATCCGGGGAGGGAGGAGGAAGAGAGACGGGAAATACTGGGGATGACTGTGGCCAAGTTACATTGTTATATTGTGTGCATGTGTGAATACATAAATCCAACATGGTGAATACTGTAATGGACCAATCAAAATAAGGAAACAAAGAAATTCTTTTTTTTTTTCTACATAGGAGGGGAAAAAACTCCATACTCTACCCGTGACTAAATGGCTTGAAGAATCAATTCTATTCTTGCTGATACTTTCTTTACACCATTTTAGTCATCCTGGGCCACACTCCAGTGGCGTTAAGGACACCCACATGTGCAACCATCACCACCAGCATCTCCAGAACGTTTTTCATCTTCCCAAACTAAAACCCCTTCCTACTGTAGACACCACCTCCCGCAGTCCCTCTGGCAGGCTGTGGAAACCACCCTGTCCTTCTCTGTGACTGTGACTACTCAAAGTACTTCACGGAAGGGGTGCAAGCCACATGTGCCTTAGGACTGGCTTCTTTCACTTAGCGCCCGTCCTTGGGTTCTGCACACTGCAGGCCCGCCAGGAGTTCCCTCCTCTTGGAGGCCTCGTCCCTCCTGGCACACGCCTTGTCACCTCCCTCATCCATCACTGGGCATTCAGGCGGCCTGCGCTTTCTGGCTATTGTGAATAGTACTTGCACAACTTGTTCACGGCACTATCTGTTCAAGTCCTGCTCTGGATTCTTGTGGATCTGCTGGATGGTCTGCAACTACTTTACTTTCTTCTTTGGTACGGGGGATTGAACCCAGGGATGCTTTACCACGGAGCCACACCCCCAGTCCTTTTTATTTTGAGACAGGGTCATGCTATGTTACCTAGGGCCTTCCTTAAGTTGCTGAGTCTGGCTTTGAACTTGCAATCCTCCTGCCTCAGCTTCCCCAGCCTCTGAATGACAGGTGTGCGTCACTGTGCCTGGCTCTATTTTCACTTTTTTGAGACCACTCTGCACCTTCCCTACACTCAACACTTTCCTGGGATTTTTTAAAGCTGAAAATATTTGGTCCAGAACTTTTTGAGTATCTCACATATTTTCCACAGGGAAGAAAGGACTTTCAAAGTTCTCTTGCAAAATTTTCAGAATAACCTATTTGTTAAGCAATGGGCTGTTGTTTAAAATGCCCATCGATTGTTTATTATGTTTTCAGTAATATTTTAAATACCTGGAGAAGTATTTACCATAATACATGGAGGTATTTATCTTATCCTTCAAAGATGGGCTCTGATCTAAATCCCTTACCTGGGTTTCCAACCTGATTATTGTTATCACCTGGGGAGCTTTTGAAACACAGCATGTAGGACTCCAGCCAAGCCTCCTGAATCAATTTCCAAAGGTAGGATGTGTTATCTCTTCAGGGCTCCCCAGGCCATTCACGCCCTGGGCCATGTCTGCGGCTCATTTGTGAGAGGTACCTTATTCTCCTTTGTCAGACTGGGAATCTGGACCCAACCACACTGTCACACTTGGGTCCACGGGCTGCCTCCAGATGGCAAAGCCTTCATGCCAGTCCTATCCCCYTTCATCTGGAGAACTCCTGCTCATCCCAGAAAGCCCAGCTTCACAGCTGTCCCAAGTGAAAGCCTTCTCAGGCCCTGAGCGCTCTCAGCCTCCGGCCTCAGCGCACTGGATGGCAGAGCTCTACCCRCAGGCCGAATTCAGGCTGTTTGCCCTTCCCCCACTCCCACCCCACTCTGGACCCACAAGGGTAGGGGTTCRCTGTGCATACCCCGCCCCTCTCCCCGCAGCCTCCCCTCTCACCCCAGGACTCACTGTGCTGGCAGTGGGGAAGCACCTGGCCTGAGCCCGCTGGGAGGGACTGATACACAGGGCCACTGTCACCCAGCTCCTCCCCTCCTCGTCCCTGTAGATGCCAGGCCTTTGGACACACAGGTGGTGGGGGGGCGCCCTGAGGAGCAGAGAAGGCGAAGCAACGGAAGCCATGGCAGGGTGCGCTCCAGGCAGGCCTGGAGGCCGGTGTGGGGTCCCCTAAGTGCGCAGCCTCCTTAGGAGGAGCCTATCCCACGCGGGGCAGGACCAGGGAGGAGGCGGGGCAGGGGCAGGGGCACCCCCCAAGGGTGCAATTAGGGGCAGGGCCTAAGAGCAGTGGGCAGTGGGTGAGAGTAGGGGCTCACTGTCCTGGAGCTGCATGGCAGAAGGGCAGCTCCTGGGGACAGAGCTGCCCAGGCCTGGGCTCGGGCCTCTCCTCACCAGGGCTGAGTGATCTCCAAGACCAAAGCTCCGGCTCCCTTTGGTCCGCTGCAGCTCCTCTCTGGGCACCTCCCYCACCCCCACTTTCCCATGGGTGATTCTGTTTTTCCCCGCTGCTACCTCCCTGCACAGACTCCGAGTTTGCAGGCACTGCCCACCCTTGGTCTCCGGCACCCCTGGGCCCACTCGTCCAACAGGACTTGAAGTCACGAACCCTTCTTGGTTTTAGAGGTATCGGGCGTGGGGCTSTGAGCTCAGAGCTTGGGTCCCTCCCACTGTCTGGTCTGGACCCATCCCRGCAAATCCATCTCCCTCTCCTCAACCAAGAAGCCAGCAACGGGAGACTTAAAATCAGGATTGTGCAAAGCCTGAGCTAAACAGGCCATGGAGGGTGGGGGCCCGGCTTTTTAGCACTATCCTTTCCACCTGGCCTGGCTGCCTTACCAGCTCAGCTTTGCTAAGAGGTGGCAGAAGCTCRATCATCTAGCAAGAAGCAGACCCTCTAGGTCAGCACGGAGGGTTCACTTCCTGCACAGTGAAGGAGATCATCTTCCTTTTGAAAACTGCAAACACGATGAAAATCACAAGCATGGATGGCAGAAGAAAGAGAGGAACTCGACTGTCCTTGCCTACCTGGCCAAGTGGGCTCACTATTGAAATGGGCAGACTCTGCCGCAGGGAAATCCATGGTGGCTGCTACTAAAAGGCAGTGGGGTTCCAAGGTGGTGGCCAGGACCACCACCCTGGGAGGCAGGTGATCCGCAGCAGTCCTTTGTCCAGAGCACATYTGAGATGTGGTTATATCTCCTTGACAAGTTGTCCATCTCTGCTACTTGTGACCTGAAGGATTCACTCTCCAGATTGGACGTCACCAGAGYCTCTGGGAAGCACATAGATCTCTCCAGTTTCTCCCTCTCTTTGTCACGTACTGACAGTGTAATCATGTCCAGCTCAATGCAGTCCTCCTCCAGCAGAGGAGGCCCTTCCCAAGCCCTGCCCCAGGTGTSATGGTGGAGGGCATCCAGCTGGGGGGATGATTCCAGACCATGCATGGGGCACTGTGCAGGCCTCRCAAGGCTGGGTAGGAGTCACAGAGCCCTCCGCACATTTTGCGCAGCCCCCCCCCCAGGTACTGGGGCAAAATGTCAGGGCAGACACCGTGCAAGTGGTAGAGAGCCTAGATATAGCATGGCACCAACGGAATGGGGACATTTAGGCCACTGGGGAGGCAGCATGAACAAAGTCAGGGAGAAGAGGAAATTCGGTGTGTATTTGGAGACCAAGACACAGTGGGAATGATCCAGTGTTGAGGATGCAGGCTCTGTGGTAAGGATAGGGACGTGGCTGAGCTCTGGTGCCCCAGGGTAAGGACTAGCAGTACCAGTGTGGGCAGAATGAGGGGCAAGGACAGGGCTCGAGAGGAGTGATGGCCATACCCACCTGCAGGAGCTCGTACTAATGATAAGAGTGACCTAGCCATTGAGCCAGAGCGTGTCTGCTAGGAAAGGATCAGATGGCGAGTGCAGATAATAACTCAGACCAGAAAAAGGTCCAGCTCGGCTTGCCTCAGTGACCCGAACAAGTTGTCAGAATGATAAAGAAACTCAACCCAACTGTAGAACTAAAAAATGGGGGTTTAGGGGAGTTTTCCCTCCATCCAGAGCTTTGAAGATGTACTGTTTTCTTCTAAAGATGTTATTCTGTCTAGACTAATTCTTCCCTGTATTCTGTTAATACCACCATTTAAAGACTACTTTCTCGACTGTACTGTTATCACTTCTCTCATGAATATGGACCAAATATGCACAGATGTTTCTGGACTCACTTCTGTTCCAGGAGTCTGCTTGTCCATCTTTATGTGAATACCTCAGTGCTAGTGACCATCGMTTTAAAGTGGTCCTGAGATCTTAGAATGTGAGTTCCCCGCCTTTGTGGCTCTTCTGGATGGCCTTGGCATGGTTATTGTTTTTGGATGAGATTAACATTTAAATTAGTGAACTTTGGGCATAGCACATTCTCCTCCATAATGTGGAGATCCTTGCCCAATCAGTTGAAGGGTCCAAATATAACAGAACGAACCAGCCTCCCCAAGCAAGACAGAATCCTAGTTGATGGCCTTCAGACAGGAACTGCACCATTGGCTCTCTTGAGTCCACCAGCCCATGCTGCAGATTTGTGACTTGTTTGATCCATAATCATGTGAGCCCAATTCCTTTTTTTTTTTTTTTTTGGTACCAGGGATTGAGCCCAGGGGAGCTCAACCACTGAGTCACATCCCCAGCCCTTTTATATATTTTATTTAGAGACCAGGTCTCACTGAGTTGCTTAGTGCCTCACTAAGTTGCTGAGGCTGGCTTTGAACTCTCCATCTTCCTGCCTTGGCCTCCAGAGCCTCTGGGGTTACAGGTGTCAGCACCACACCCAGCAAACCAGTTCCTTATAATAAATCACTGTTTGTGCGTGCACGAAAACACATAAACACACACACACACACACACACACACACACATACACACACACACTCCCCTCTTGGTACTGTTTCTCTGGAGAACCCTGACTAATCCAGCTGTCCTCTGCCCTTTACATTTCTATATGAACTTTAAAATCATTCTGTTAACCTCTGCTTGTGCTCCACAAAGCCTGCTGGGATTCTAGTTTGGATTGTGCTAAATCTATGGGGATATTTTGAGGAGAATTGACATCTCACCATACTGGACCTTATAATCCACTGATATTACAGGTATATCCCTCTACATCTTAGATTGTCCCTCATTTTTCTGTATGGTTTCATTAAATTTATTCTTAGGTATTTGATACTATTTTAAGTGGTGTTATTTTAAATTCTGATATGCATATACACATATAAACATATATGATCATATAGAGAGGGGGGGGAGAGAGAGAGAGAGGCTGGTATAGAAAAGTACAACCGATTTTTGTACATTGATCCTATTTCCAAAGACCTAGGTAATTTCACTTAACTTTAATAGTAAGCTATTTTGGAATATCCTTAGCCACAGTGTCTCCAATTATTTTTATATCACCCTTTCTCCCCTCTGTTGGGAAGTCCACATTTTTGGAGCTTTGAAGTTGTGTGTCGAGCCTCCTGTGCTTGGTTTGAATTGGTTCTCCCTATTCTTCTTTCCTTTCTGAGCTTCAGCTTTCTTCTTTTGTACTGACTCATCTTGCAGGTTATTCATCCTGACGTCTGCTGTGTCCAATCTGCTCTTAAATTGGACAATTGATTTCTTAACCGCAGATATCATATTTATTAGTTCCGGAGTGTCAATTTGATGCACCTTTCAAGCATTTCTCTGATMATCTCCCCCTTTCTAGCCATTTGTCCATCATTCTGCTTCCTTGGACATACTAATGGTGTAAGTCAGCTCGTCATCTCTGTGACCAAAATACCTGACAAGAACATCTTTGAGGAGGAAAGATATTTTGGCTCAGGGTTTCAGAGGATTCTGTCCATGGTCGGCTGGTTCCAAGGCAGAAATTCATGGTAGTCGGGTATGAAAGAGGAAAGATCCTCAGCTCACAGTAGCCAGGAAGCAGAGAAGAGAGAGAGAGAGAGAGAGAGAGAGAGAGAGAGAGAGAGAGAGAGCCTGGAAGGTGCCAGAGACAGAGTCCCCAAGGCCACACCCCAGTG